GACTCCCCCCTTCTTTCCGCTATCCCCTTCTCCACATTGTTTCTTTCCTTTGTTTTTCTTTTATTCCTTTTTTTCCTCTCTGCACTGCTGTCCACTTCCTCTTCTTTTCTTCTTTTAATCCGTCAGTGCTCCACCTCTCTGACCTACTCTCCCTCTTATTCTTCTTTCATCTATTTTTTATTCCTTTTTTTTTTTCCTTTCTTTCTTCTTCTCCATCCGTTCCTTTCTTTTCTTCTACAAAACAAAACCATCATGATGAAACATCAACATGACTTATCATTATTATATTTCTTTTTAATTTAATTTAAAAGTTGATCTACACAGACAGTTTTGACGAATTTATTACATAAAATTTCACTTGTTCTATTTTTATTTTCTTTGCATAACAAATCCTATAAACACAAAAATAATGTAAATAGCTCAAAAATATAAGGAACTAACTAACAAAAGACGAGTGAATTTGAAGTAAAAATATATATAAATATGATCCGATCAATATCGTAGTACTAGAGCGTATTTATTTACACCTAGTCTTGTCATACATACCACTTTAGGTGGTACCGACTCATGTGCAGGCATACTTGTTGAGCTATAGATTTAGCCGTACAGGCCACTTTAGGTGAATCCGGCTGATATGTTATTCTCATGAGTCAATTCCCCTGAGTTACTTATTTAGTTATTTTGAGATATTTGGCATGGCATACTTTTGAATATTACTATTCTGAGCATGGTTTTGAGATATGTATATATATATTCTATTTTCTAGGAAATTATACAAGTTTTACGGTGATGGGTTAATATCTTTAATGTTGAAATAGTTTTGGAAAACTTTGTTTTTGCCCACTCACACTTTCTGTTTTGTGCCCCTCTAGGTTTTAGGTAGGAGTGATTGTTGGTGGTTACGAGAATTTGACGGAGGTTCTGACAGATTATCACCAATGTAGGATCACCTTTGGGTGTTTTATAATTAGTATTAGTTCTGCTGGACTGAACTTAGGCTACTTATGCTCTGGTTGTGCAATCACACTTAATAACGCGCTTGCACCTTATCTTATCTAGTGCTCTAGTTGGTTTGGTTTTTTGTTCATTCGCATTTCTTATATTAATATTGCTTCCGCACTGTGCACATGGCTACGTCACGCTTACGTGACCGGCCAACATGCCTCGATTTAGGTCGGGGTGTGTCAATAAGAATGCAATAAATAAATTTGATCTTCAATTTAAAATATTTACACATGTCGATACCACAAAATATTATTTTATACTTAATAGAAGTATAACATTAACTCTTAAGTGTTTATTTAATCTACCGTTTTGACGTGATATACATTCTACGAAACTTTTTTCAATGACCTAACCGTCAAACTTGTTTGTACACACTTCGAGACCGCACACGTAAAAAATCACAAAAAAAAACATTCAGAAATTAGGTAACAGAACAAAAGTTTTCGACGGTTATAAACGAAAAATCACAATTTAATGGTTATTTTAGCTCCAATTTTGATGATTTTTTACAGCTACACTCCTCGACCTTATAAGAATGCATTGAACGAATTTGATCTTCAATTTAAAATATTTACACTAGTGGATACCACAAAATCTTATTTTACACTTGATGGGGAAGTATAACATTTAACTCTAAGTGTTTGTTTAATCCACCGTTTTGATGCGATATGCATTCTACGAAACGTTTTTCAACAATCCAACCGTTAAACTTGTTGTACACACTCTGAGATCGCATAAGTAAAAAATCGCAAAAAACAAACATTCAGAGATTAGGTAACAGAACAAAAGTTTTCGATGGTTATAAACGAAAAATCACAATTTAACGGTTATTTTAGCTTCTATTTTGATGATTTTTTACAGCTACACTCCTCGACCCTATAAGAATGCAATGAATGAATTCGATCTTCAATTTAAAATATTTACAATAGTGGATAAATCTTATTTTATACTTAATGGAAGTATAACATTAACTCTTATGTGTTTGTTTAATCTATCAATTTGATAGGATATGCATTCTACGAAATTAGTTTCAATGATCCAATATGTTTGTATATACTCCGAGATAGCACGTGTAAAAAAATCGCAAAAAAAAAAAAAACATTAAGATTAGGTAACGAGACCATGAGTGAAAAAAAAAACATTTAGAGATTATTCTGGCGCCCACCCAAAATTTTGCTTTGTTCGTGTCGGTTATATCCGACAGGGCCATTAGTGAAAAAAAAATATTTAAACCATGTGTTTATTTATTTATTTTTAATCAATATAATAATTTAAAATAATAAAATAGTTAATTTCTGTCGTTTCTAAGTTATAACTGTCATAATACTAAAATAATAACCACCAGAAACTAAAATAATAAAATAGTCAATTTCTGTCGGTTATAACCGCCACGATTAACTTAAAAACTATCGGAATATGTTAAAAATATTTATAAAAAAAATTCAAAAATACTGGCAGTTATAATAATTTTATGGCGGTTGTATCTGACACTAAACATCCATCAAGAATTTATGTCGGATATAACCGACAAGATTTCATTGTTATCCGACACTAATTGAATGATGTGTTAGATATCTTTTATCTGACATAATGACTTATTAAACCGCTACCATCATTCGGCACCTAAAGCTAATATTGTAGTAGTGTTAAGTTAGTTCCAAGGATTTCAATAAGTAGGGATTGTGTCTCCCTAGGGTGGAAGACCCCAAACTTGATCAGGATGGCTTACTCGGTGACCTTAATCCGTGATGGTGGCCATAACTGGTGATTAAAGCTCATGAATATAGTGTTGTGAACTAACCAAGAAGGGAAAGTACTGAAATAACGTTTTGAGAAGTGAAAATACTTTGAACCTATGTTATCCCTATGGGATGTATTACTGTGTATCTTTTGAATGTAAACTATATTTCTGTCATTCTAAATGCATGCCTTGTTAGAATCTTGATTGAAATGAATCATTTTGTTGTACCTACTGAGCTTATGAAGCTCGCCCTATTTTATCATTTCAGGACTTAAGTGAAGGTATAAAGGTAGTGATATCCCCTAGCTGTCTTAAAGAGCTTATCGAAGCACATCTATTTTGATTTTGCAGACTGCATGTTGCTTTATTTGTAATGTGTAGTGTTAGAGCCTAGCGTTTTTTTTTTTAACTCTTTGGAAGTGCTACTTGTAAAGCTTACTCCAAGATGTGGTGTAAAGCTAGGGGGTTTTGTATCTCTAGTGGTGAAGGATTTTAGGAATAACTTGCATCTTAACTTTGTAAATTTACATGTTCAGTACTTATGTACAGTTTATTGAGTTTATTTTCTACCCAACTCAATCCATCAATTTAGTCATTCCACATGGTTTTTGGGTGTGACACGGGACATTCTTTTTCCTTTCGATTGAGTTGAAATCCTTGGTAAATTTTCTATTGAAGCCCATTTAACTGCATCATTCCTCCAATTTCTATGTATTCATTCATTGTATCAATGAATATTATACTTGTTCGTTAATTACAGTAAGATCCCCTAAGGTTTATTATATTATCATAAAACTCTCTCACGTCTAATAAGTAACACTAACACCCTATAAGATTCCAATTTGCTTTCACATTACTCCTTAATGACGTATTTATCCCTATAATTAATTACTTGAGAAATAAAAGCTTCCATAATTTAATTTTTTTTAACAAAAATAAAAATAAAAAAACCCTATGGAATGAAAAAGTATTGCTCCCACCAAACGAATCTTCCTCTCCTCTACTTCCTCTCGCCCTCAACAATCTCAATCCAACCTAACACTCCTCGACGGTCTAGTCTTGAGCTGGGGTGGGGGAGGTCATGAACATATAAAATCAATTCAATTGGATGAATAAGGAAAACTAATGAAAAATGTTTGAAAACTTTGAGTTTTAACCATAAGGACAAAATAAAGGGTAAAGTGAATAGTACCAGGTTTGACTTTTTAGTGTAAAAATATGGTTTTTCGTTAAGGTGAACAGTACTGCGGGCTTTTCGTTAAAACTCCCTATTTATTAAGTGTCACAAAGATTTTATTTGCTGAGAATTAATAATGAATGATATGGCTACAAGTTTACAACTAAACCTAAATACAGTTCTCCGTTCCTGTTTTGCAATGCCATTAACGACATCACTGCTCTTTCATTATGAAATTTTCTTATCAACATCACTATCTGTTTCGCTCTATTTATCTAAATTTCATACTTCATAGAAAATATTCTTGTTGACACACCATCTCTTTTGTTCAAAGTTTTGGGATTGTTCAACGATGAAGAAGAAGAAGATCTCGGGAGGGGTTGCTAGAAATGAGGGAAATGAGTTTGTGGGTCGGGTCGAGTGCATGTTAAGTGGCAGCAGTGGAAAAACAAACATAAGATATATTTGGATTCCAATAGGATTTATCATTCCTTTTTATTTGTAATGTTTTGTATAATTTTTTATTTGATTTCTTTTTTATTTATTGATATTTTTTTTATTTTGTTAAGTAATTAATTATAAGAGTGAATTTTTTTTATAGACTAATATTCTACAAAAGAGGTATTTGAAAAAGTGAATTAAAACTCCGAAGGGTGTAAGTATTACTCATCAAACGTGAGGTAGTTTTGTGAAAATAGAATAAAACTCATGAGATATTTGTATAATTAACCGTATTTGTTTTGGCAATTTGCCTGTAACCAATTATGTGATGTGGTTTGAAGAACCATCAGATATTATCTTAGATTCTTTATTTGAGGATTGCAGCTTCATCTTATAACTTGGTTTAGAACAAATTGAAACTCCCGACAAAATTTTTATCGAGACCCTTAACATGCATCATATTCTTAGCATTGTATGTAATCTTTATCATTAAAATAAAAAATAAAAAAAAGGAACCCAAACTTACTATTATTATTATTATTATTTATTTTTTTAAATCTCTGTCTTTACCGAGACAATCAAATATTTCAACCAAAACGAAAAAGTCCAACTTTGTGCAATTTCCCGTTTCGTGACCCAACGACTTACAAGCCGAAGAAAGTTAAAAAAAAAAAGAAAAAAGAAAAAGAAAAAAGGATTCTAAGGATTACGGGCCCAGCTCTCCCGCTCCTCGCCTGCGTTCTGGAAGCGAAGAGCTTCAAACTCTCCCTTCTCCGGCCAATTTTCCGGCGCAACCTTCAAACCGGTGAGCCTCCTTTGTCTCTGTTTAACAAAGCTAATCGTTCCCTCGCTGCAACCTATTTTCTCTTCCTTTAACTAAATAAGTTTTGCTCTCTGTGTTGAACTGGTATTTTTCTTGATAATTTTATAGCTTTATTTCAATTAACTAAAATTAAATCAAGGTTATAGCTCAAATTTCATTGTGTATCAGATCTCTGTGAAGACCGAAAACCCGAATTCTGATTTTTTTGCTGTTTGTTTTGATTGTATTGTTTGCCGTAGCCGTAGGTATATAAGATGTGCCGTCAGAATTCTTGTGCACATGTGCCGGTAGAGGAGGCGGTTGCTATCGACGAGAGTCTATTGATATATTGCAAGCCAGTTGAGCTCTACAACATTCTCCGCCCTCGTGCTCTACACAATGTTTGTTCACTCTCATGCATTTTGTTCTAGCTCTACTTTTTTTGTATAATTGGGTCAAATGTTAATTTTCAGTCAGAATTGCGTGTGTATGGTATTCCACTCGATAAGGGTCGTGGTTGTCAAAGTTTAATCAGGAATGCACATTCAAATGTGATTGCACTTGTAAATTTGTAATGATCCTCATTAGCAATTTTAATAGTTTGATGAAAACAATACTACAAACTTGGACCCGTTCGGTGTTTTGGCATGGTTTTGTGTACTATGGTTATAAGAACAAAAGGAATGTTAATCCAATGTGGTTATTTCCACTTGTATTACTCATTTAATGCTGAGCTCTGTGGTCTGTGCTGTGCGCTCCGTATGCCATATGTGTGGGTTGTTATGAGGTCTTGGTGAACTCTTTATAAAAAGGTACAATCTTTGTTTCTGTATTCTCATCAATCCCTTTCTATGTTGTAGCCGTTATTTCTTCGCAGATGTTTGCGTTATAAAATCCAAGCAAGGCGTAGAAAGAGGTACCAATTCTATCTTTAAGTACACAGTCAGACATATGGAAGTATGTTTATGTATTTTTTTTATGTAGTTCGTATTTCCATTGCCCTGAATGATTTTATTTTCAAGATGAAAGTTTTAATTCTTTGAAGAGTACTGATGTAGAGTTTTGATATGGGGTAGTTCACCTTAAATCATTCTGTTTTATTGAGTCTCTTAGTTTGTCGAGTCACACGCACACACTCTCTCTCTCTCTCTCAAGTACATTATTTTTTTATGCGAGGACTTCAAGAAGACATTATGTTGCTTACTTTAAGAGGGCAATTAATATATTTTTCTGCATGTTATTTTTCTAGGTCCAGGGCTGGGGTTGTAATATTCAACTACAGGGACTACAACAATATGTTACGAAAGACTGAAGGTATCATCAATTTCTTTGTCCTCTGAAGTGTAATTATTTTCTATTACTATAGTTACAACGGTTATTTGTATCTGAAGTATCAACCATACTTGTTAAGTAAGTATCCAAAACCCCTTTTTTCCCAATAGAAAACAAATTTCCACAAGTTTGTTATTGTTTCTGATGTCTCTAGATTTATTTAGTACTTTGTTTTTCCTGTCCTTTAGTTGGGTTTACTCTCAAATTTCTTCTTTTTATTTATTCCGTTTCCCATGGCCCCATCCCTATCTTTTAACTCATGGAACCCTACTTGGCATGATGATGATCCTTGATTCTTGACGATTTATGGTGTAAAGCTTTATTAAAGAGGGAAATGGGTGTCCTGGGATACTGTTTCTCTCTTTATATTTTTCCCTCTGTCAGAGTAAATGTATTATTTAGTTTCTTATTTAAAATGGCTTCGTTGGCTGCATGGTAGTATGCACTCTTAAGAAAAATATATGTGATTTGGTTTTTCCACTTATGAGGATTAACATTTAGACAACTACTAATAAATTTCTGGTGAATCATGTTTTTGTCTATTTGAACTTCATTTTTATCAGCAATGAAGCTTTTATTGTTGAACATTCAGTTACTGAAACCCTAACTGTTATGTGTACTTTTTGTTTTTGAACATTCAGTTACTGAGGACTTCTCCTGTCCCTTTTGCTTGATGCAATGTGCAAGCTTCAAGGTATGAACCAGTATGGATATTGCTTTCTATGTTGTCCCATTTATGTTTGATATAAATTAGCATAAATTGTAGGAAAAACCAAGTTTTCCTTAGTAAGGGACAGAAAGGAGAATTACTTCCCATTCGGAATACCTTATCTTGTATTTTAAAGTTGGCATAAAACCTATAAAGTATTTTCAGTATCTGCAGAAAGATTGGGTGGAAATACTCTAAACATAAATGCTTTGATATACAATATCGTAGGAAATACTGATCTAGTATGAAACTCTTAGTTATTTCCATATTAATGATTAATTTTTCATTCATATTCCAGTGTGCACACATGGTGCGGATTTGTTTATTCCTGAGAAGCTTAACCTTTAATTCTTCAATATTTTATACTTTCTTTTCAGTTTTCCATTGTAAAATAGAATCGATAGTTGTTTATAATTTAGAGATATATTTGACACTTGAGGCTGAATTATTTGTGATATGATGTCAGCATACCCACTTGTGTTGGCTAGAGTTTCAGTTTTTTGATTCATAATGCATATATTTCTCTCCTGAGAATCTAATTTATTTATTGAACCATAATATTGAAAGTTATTGTTCTTCTGTTAAGTGGCCTATTTCCATGCTTTTTTTGTTTGTTTTTAGTTTTAATATTTTATTTGCTTTACTACTATATACTAATTTAGCTTGTTGCTGAAGTGAACCTTCATTTTTTCTTGTAGGGTCTGCGTTATCACTTGTGCTCTTCACATGACTTATTCAACTTTGAGTTTTGGGTTGGTGATTGAGTATATCTTTTCACTTTCTGCTTATTCTGAAGAGGTTGTTGAAGAAACATTTATTGTGTAGGTAACTGGAGAGTATCAGGCAGTCAACGTTTCTGTGAAAGTTGAACTATTGAGATCCGAGGTCAGAATTGTTTTCATCCTGAAGTAGTGCAGATCTTTTTTGTGCGAGTTCAAAATATTTGTTGCCATTAGGGTTCATATGTTGAACAAAAGCAACTCATAGGCACTCCAGTACTGCTTATGTTTCCTTTTGATTTTTTTTTTCAGCATGCATGAACAAGTTATATGCCCCAATCATATCCAGTTACATTTTTTGTATACAGACTGTAGCAGATGGAGTAGTTCCACAACTTCAAACATTCTTCTTCTGGTCGGTTTAAATCTCTTGGTACAACTTAAAGCTACTGGTTAATAGCCTATTCGTTCTCTTAGAAGAATTCAGAGAGTTGAGTAGGTGAAATAACTTTTTTTGCAGTTCAAGGTCGAGAAAACGTAGGCCAAAGAACCATGGTCAACTTGAAAACCACGTTAACATACAATTCTTGGAGTTAGACTCACCTAGCCTTGCCAATGGAGGGGCACACGAGGCACATTTGGAGAATGGTGATGGTAAGTTTTGCTTTCGTACTCCGTTGGATTGATCATTTTCAGGTAGTGAAAAAGAAAAGAGACTCAAGACAAAGAGATGACAGGTTCCATCATATCCTGTTAATGTGCAGAGATGTATCACCCTAGGCTCATTCAGAGTACCTTTAGTCTCTATCAAGATTGCTTTAGAGAAATTTTAGTTTTTTATAAAATTTTATCCTCTTTTCTTTTGGGTAGTGGTTTAGAGTGTTTCTGCCCTTCTTTTGATCACGACTGAGCTAATGCTTAAGAAGGTCTCTATATAATAATATGAGGCTCATGATGCATGTCTTAAAGTTGTCCACAACTCCAGCATTGTATTATGGCATTTCATTCATCCTATTTTCTTTACAAAGTTCCCTTTTTACCTACGAAATAGCTGGTCAAGTTGGTTTGCCCATTTCTAATTTTTTTTACTTCTTTTGAGGTATATAGTAACTCTATTGGATATTCTTGTCAATGCCTGTCTTTGCGATCAATATAACAATTTATTAGTTTAAGATCTCTTACATATAACATATGGAATTGGTTTGAAGTTAGTATTTTAACTAACCGCTTGTTTATTGGTTTAACAAGTTCAGTTACATACTTTGATTTGACTATTCACTGTTCCACCAAGTTCAATTTAAGTTAGATAATAGTGACTGTTGGATGACAAATCCCAGCTCACATTTAGTTGAGAGTCTGATATTATGATTGAGTGTTAATTGGGTTGAATGTAGTTACTTTTAAATCCAAGCCATGCTTAGTTTAATAATAGCTTCCTTTGGACCAAAAGTGGTATTTAAATAAAATGTCTAATACAGTAATTATTTATAAAAAAAAAATGTGATTGTGCAGCACAATTTACAGATGTGACTGTTTTAAATTTTTTGTCTTGGGGTTTCAAATGAAGATTCAATGATTTTTCTTACTCAATTATCTCTCTTCTTAGATGCCTTTGTTGGGAAGACTGAGATTTAACCGTATTTCTTGGATATTCTATCCTGTAAAGGTGTGAAGGCTCCCAATCTGCTCTCTGGTGGAAAAGATTTCCAAAATGGAAGGCGTAGACATGAAAACTGTGGTCATGATCATCCTAGTTCTGTAGAATGTATAGAATGTGCTACCTCAAGTTCCAACAGTCATGGTGCTACAATTTCCATTGCTCAATCATCTCCGGACATTGATTGTGTTAAATTGCTATCTGGAAGTGATTATGCACCACCAACTAAAATAAGGAAGTTAACTGCAGAGCGTTCAGAGCCAAGAAAGTACGTCAACCTGTGTTATGGTTTCTCTCCATTGTTTTCCAGAAGCTTCCGTTGATTTTCCTTATAAGCATTACTTGATTTATGTTCTTCTCATTGTTATTACTATCAGTCTGTGGACTTCACTTTAGGATGCATTTTTAGAGTATCAAAAGCAGAGACTTGTGTCTGCCGTTTTTGAAATTGGTATCCTTATTTGAAGTGTCCATAATTGAGGCTGTGAATTTATTTTGACAATTCTCACAGTTGTTTAATTTTTGTTTGTCAGCCGTATGCTCCTGCAGAAACGACAGTTCTTTCACTCTCATAGAGTTCAGGTAGTTATTGATTTTTAAACCCGATAGCAGTTCCAAATTTTGTTTCTCCATCAATTTGCATTTTTTGTAGGCTTAATTTTTGTTTTATTTCTTGCACACCAAAAGCTGCTGTCAACTAAAATCTTTTATTTTGCAACAGTTTGAAACTTAAACTGTTTGTTTCTTTATCCATTGCGAAACTTAGATATACGTGAACTGTAATAATCCTTCTTTTAAACAATTGGAGAGTATTTTTGTCATTATATTTCCTGTTTTTGTTTATATACTTAGTTTGCTTATGGTTCGTGAGCTGATGGATTTCCATCTTTATTTATAAATGCATTCTATTCAGTAATTAGCATGTACCCCTTGCATGTAATTCTTTTTTGGTGTTGAGAAGTGGTTTTTGTGGGTTTTGTGCTTTCAAAGACTGAATTTGCAGCGTTTTTTAGCCCCCGGGAAGTAGCACTACTGTCGTAGTGCAGTTATGCAAAAGTGGTTGTATTTTCTATAATAAGTGACCAAACTGAGTTGTAGTTATGGTGTAACTGAGAGGGACCCATTGTTAAATTATGGTGAAGGCTTTTGGAGAGAGAATTATGTGCAAGGGACCTTGATGGAGGAGCCAAGTTAAAAATTCAGTAAAGTAGTCTTTCTACCTTCTTATGTAATAAATGCAGATTAGTCTGCAAGTTCTTTATGTTTGAGTCTCTCTACGTTACAATTTTAATGTATTAGGTGTCATAGATTAGTCTTAAGAATTCCTGAGTATATTAATGTGGATCTTTCCAGATTCATGGACCAGTTAGCCTATAAAAGGGCTACTTTGTATGCTTTAAAGAAGTGTTAAGTGAAAAGAAATTCTGGATTCCTGCTTGTGTGTGAGGCACAACAACCTTGGAGTGATTCCAAGTCACCTTCAGTGTGAGGCTGCAGGCCGGTGTGTTGCTGGAATTTTTTTTAAATTCTCTATTGGACTGATTAACTCCGCCGTGTAAGTTTATCTTACATTGCCGGTCCCAAGCCCGGATAAAGGAGGAGGGGGAGGGCGTCAGGTAGTCGACAGCCGGCACTCCATGATCACGTCGAATCCTTATGAAAATGAATCCAGAACGAAATCGCGCTAAAGCTAGGGCGTCACCCGTAAGTGGCGCGCTGTGTGGCCCGAGCACAGTGATAAGTGAGCAAGGGTCGCTGTATCTCCATCGGCACCCGGATGCAGTGTTAAATGAGCAAGGGGGCTATAGAAACTTCTTTTCGAACGACTCCACTCAAAGTTGTTTGGGAGCATATGCTCCTATCAACTTTACACGGGACACACAAAAGAAGTACTTTGATCCTATTAGACGGGGAAGGGTGAAGAAGCTAGGACAGAAGGGTAGAGTTCAAGAGAGCAAAATGCGTTTAGGAACGTGGAATATAGGAACCTTGACGGGAAAATCTATGGAAGTAGTAGAAGTTATGGTGAGGAGAAGGATAAATATTATGTGCCTACAAGAAACTAAGTGGGTTGGGCGTAAGGCAAAGGATCTAGAAAACTCAGGGTTTAAACTATGGTATTCGGGCACAAATAGAACGAGAAACGGTGTTGGCATCATCGTGGACAAGACCTTGACACAAGATGTTGTAGATGTCAAGAGGGTAGGAGATAGAATCATGGCAATCAAGATTGTAATAGGACAAGAACTTATCAATGTGATTAGTGCGTACGCACCTCAAGTAGGGTTGGATACGAGTTCGAAGGAGAAATTTTGGGAAGACCTTGGAGACTTGGTGCAAGGAATTGCTCAGACGGAGAAGTTATTTTATAGGAGGAGATTTAAATGGACACGTGGGCAGGGAGACAGGCAACTATGGAGGTTTTCATGGTGGCCATGGTTTTGGGGAGAGAAACGAGGATGGGGAAGCTATCTTGGATTTTGCAATGGCATATGATCTCTTCTTAGCCAACACCTTCTTTAAGAAGCGGGAAGAACATGTGATCACCTACAAGAGTGGGTCGTCAAAAACACAAATAGATTTTCTTCTAATGAGGAAAAGGGATCGTATAACTTGTAAGGATTGCAAAGTTATACCAGGAGAGAGCGTGGCTAATCAACATCGCTTGTTGGTGATGGATGTACATATCAAAAGAGTGAGAAAAAGAACAAGACTTGGAAGTGCCCAAGGACTAGATGGTGGAATCTAAAAGAAGAAAAACAAGCCATTTTCAAAGAGAAAATAACCACCCAGTGTGTGTGGGATAGAGAGGGGGAAGCTAACCAAATGTGGGATTCCATGGCTAGTTGTATCCGAAAAGTAGCAAAAGAGGTATTAGGAGAGTCCAAGGGCTTTGCCCCACACCAAAAGGAATCTTGGTGGTGGAATGAGGAGGTACAAACAAAGGTGAAGGCTAAGAAGGAATGTTGTAAAGCCTTATACAAGGATAGGACCGATGAAAATGGTGAAAGGTATAGAAAAGCGAAGCAAGAGGCGAAGAAAGCTGTGAGAGAAGCTAAGTTAGCGGCTTATGACGATATGTATAAACGACTAGATACCAAAGAAGGAGAGTTGGATATCTATAAACTAGCTAGAGCAAGGGAAAAGAAGACAAGGGACCTAAACCAAGTGAGGTGCATCAAGGATGAGGATGGAAAGGTTCTTGCTACAGAGAACGCGGTTAAAGACAGATGGAAAGGTTATTTTCATAATCTTTTCAATGAAGGACATGAAATGAGTGCTTCTTTAGGGGAGTTGAGTAACTCAGAAGAGTGTAGAAACTACTCTTTTTATCGTAGAATCCGGAAGGAAGAAGTGGTTGTAGCTTTGAAGAAGATGAAGCATAGAAAAGCAGTAGGCTCAGACGATATACCAATCGAAGTGTGGAAAGTTTTGGGAGAGACAGGTATAACATGGCTCACTGACCTTTTCAATAGGATTTTGAAAACGAAGAAGATGCCAAATGAGTGGCGAACGAGCACTTTGGTGCCTATCTACAAGAATAAGGGCGATGTACAAAATTGCATGAACTATAGGGGTATTAAGCTAATGAGTCATACAATGAAGCTTTGGGAGAGAGTCATTGAGCATAGATTGAGGCAAGAGACACGGGTTTCGGACAACCAATTCGGGTTCATGCCAGGGCGCTCAACCATGGAGGCAATCTATCTCTTACGAAGATTGATGGAAAGATATAGAGATGGGAAAAAGGATTTACACATGGTCTTTATAGATTTGGAAAAAGCGTATGATAGGGTCCCAAGAGACATTCTTTGGAGGATTTTAGAGAAGAAAGGAGTACGAGTAGCATATATCCAAGCTATACAGGATATGTATGAAGGAGCAAAGACTGCCGTAAGAACTCATGAAGGACAAACCGAAAGCTTTCCCATAACTGTAGGATTACATCAAGGCTCATCCTTAAGTCCTTACCTTTTTGCGTTGGTAATGGATGAGTTAACAGGACATATTCAAGATGATATTCCTTGGTGTATGCTTTTCGCAGACGATATAGTGTTGATAGATGAAACTCAAGAAGGGGTAAATGCAAAGCTTAACCTTTGGAGAGAAGTGTTGGAATCTAAAGGTCTTCGCCTAAGCCGATCAAAGACAGAATATATGGAGTGCAAGTTCAGTGCAAACGGAGGCCAAAACGAGTTAGGGGTGAGGATCGGAGATCAAGAAATACCAAAGAGCGACCGTTTTCGTTACCTAGGATCTATCTTGCAAAAGAACGGAGAATTAGATGGAGATCTCAACCATAGAATACAAGCTGGATGGATGAAGTGGAAGAGTGCATCCGGCGTGTTGTGTAACCGCCGTATGCCACTGAAGCTCAAGGGAAAATTTTATAGGACGGCAATAAGGCCGGCGATGTTGTATGGCACAGAATGTTGGGCGGTGAAGCATCAACACGTACACAAAATGGGTGTAGCGGAGATGAGGATGCTTCGTTGGATGTGTGGGCACACGAGAAAGGATAAGATTAGGAATGAGGATATCCGGGGTAAAGTAGGAGTAGCCGAAATTGAAGGAAAGATGAGAGAAAATCGGTTACGGTGGTTTGGACATGTGCAAAGAAGGCCTACTGACGTTCCGATTAGAATATGCGACTATGGGCAGAGGTTCAGGGCCGAAGGGGTAGAGGAAGACCCAGGAAAACTTTGAGAGAGACCCTAAGAAAAGACTTAGAGTACTTGGATCTAACGGAGGACATGACACAGGACAGAACACAATGGCGTTCTAAGATTCATATAGCCGATCCCACTCAGTGACTTGGATTTTCCAAGTCTCCAACCGAGAAGTTGTCCTCGCTCAGGAAATTAAGGGAACACTACCTCAACCTACATGCTCCACTCACAAAGCTCCAACATACAAGCTTCAACAAAAGAAAATTCAAAGAACTTAGCGAAGAAGGCTTTGGTGATTTAACACAATACGTTGAAATGAAGGAAAGCTTATTTATTGATATCCCCGATAAATTACAAATATGTACATATACTTGAGTCAAAATAAACAAATAAGAGGGAGCCTTCACAAAGGTTGCTTAGGAGAAGTCTCGGCAGTCGGTAGAGCCCCAGAAAGAGAAGGCACCGGAGGGGGATCATTCGGAGCCTCAGTACTGGACAGAACCCTAGAAGGAGGAGGCATCAGAGGTTGATCATTTGGAGCTTCATTACGCGGTACAGCCCCAGAAGACGAAGGCAATAAATGCCTTTGGAACAAACCCACAAATCTCTGATGATCAAGTAAAACCTGACCATCAGATTCCTTCATCTGGTCAAGCTTCCTCTTCATGTTTGTAGCATAGTCATGTGCGAGCCGGTGCAACTGTTTATTCTCATGCTTGAGCCCTCTAATCTCCTGTTTGAGACTCATCACTTCAGCCGCCAATGATTCAACTTGGCGGGTTCGAGCAAATAGGCGTTGGGCCATATTAGACACAGAACCTGCACACTGAACACTAAGAGCCAGAGAATCCTTAACAGCCAACTCATCAGACCGTTTGGAAAGTAGTCTGTTATCTTTGGGAGTGAGAAGGTTCCTGGCCACTACCGCAGCGGTCATATCATTCTTCATCACGGAATCCCCAACGGTAAGAGGACCAGTAGGGGAGACGAAGGATGGGCGCCATATGTTGTCTGGAGAAGGCGGGGCTGCCTCTTCAACAAGGTTCAAGTCAAAAACGACGGTCGGAGGGGCCAGACATTTTCAAAGGTGTAGAAGAGAGAAGAGGTCAGACAAATCAAGATCTTAGAAGTGCAAGAATGGAGCTTCTACTGGTGGATATTCAAGTGTGCTTTGGAACTTAATGTCAGCCTCTATAAAAAAATCTGCACTCGACGAAGCTTCAGAAATCGAAGAGGCGTTTGCTTTCTCAAAAGCTGGGCTGCTCAGAGACCACGAGGGTCGATCTCAGAAATCGAAGAGGCGTTTGCTTTCTCAAAAGCTGGGCTGCTCAAAGACCACGAAGGCCGATCTCAGAAATCGAAGAGGTTTGCTTTCTCAAAAGCTGGACTGCTCAGAGACCACGAGGGCCGATCTCAGAAATCGAAGAGGTTTGCTTTCTCAAAAGCTGGGCTGCTCAGAGACCACGAGGGCCGATCTCAGAAATCGAAGAGGTTTGCTTTCTCAAAAGCTGGGCTGTTCAGAGACCACGAGGGTCGATCTCAGAAATCGAAGAGGCACCTACTTTTCCAGCCTTGTCAGCACCTGTCACACGCACACTCAGCTTTGCGGAAATATTGGGCATTCTGTCGAAGATTTCTGGCGAAGTAGAAAGCACATGAATCATACTGTTCAATCACCCACTTCCCACACGCAACAGTAGCTCATGGGTACCACATATAACTTTGCCAAAGTTCTCTGACAAAGTTGAGACTACTTTTCCAGCCTTGTCAGCACCTGTCACACGCACACTCAGCTTTGCGGAAATTATGGGCATTCTGTCGAAGATTTCTGGCGAAGTAGAAAGCACATGAATCGTACTGTTCAATCACCCACTTCCCACATGCAACAGTAGCTCATGGGTACCACATATAACTTTGCCAAAGTTCTCTGACAAAGTCGAGACACGTGAAGCTTGCAACTCTCACTACATCGCTCTGACCAAGAAGGGTAAAAGAATAGCAAAGAAACAACACTAACAAAGTTTAGACACATAAATTTTGACGGCCTAGCTACCATATTATTACCCACAAGGGTAAAGGAACAGTACCACTGCTGGATAATTGGAAAGTCCCGGTGTGTCAACCTCTGTGCTTCATGGCAAGGTAGACTAGCAAACATGCCCAACCTTTACTCACATTCGAGAAAACACTCCCAACAAGATTGCTTGCCCCAAAATCGAAGAGGCATCGCCCTCCGAATCTCGAGAGCCAGACTTCCAACATGATTACTTTCTCAAAAATCGAAGAGAGGGTAAAGGAACAGTACCACTGCTGGATAATTTGAAAGTCCCTGTGTGTCATCCTCTGTGCTTCGTGGCAAGGTAGACTAGCAAACATGCCCAACCTTTACTCACATTCGAGGAAAACACCCCCAACAAGATTGCTTGCTCCAAAATCGAAGAGGCACCGCCCTCCGAATCTCGAGAGCCAGACTCCTAACATGATTACTTTCTCAAAAATCGAAGAGAGGGTAAAGGAACAGTACCACTGCTGGATAATTGGAAAGTCCCTGTGTGTCAACCTCTGTGCTTCGTGGCAAGGTAGACTAGCAAACATGCCCAACCTTTACTCATATTCGAGAAAACACTCCCAACTCCCAACATGATTACTTTCTCAAAAATCGAAGACACCGCTCTCCGAATCTCGAGAGCCAGACCCCCAGCATGATTGCTTTCTCAAAAATCGAAGAGGCATCGTTCTCCGAATCTCGAGAGCCAGATCCCCGACAGGATTGCTTGTTCGAAAACCGAAGAGGCACCACTTTCCCAACTTCAAGAGCCGGATCTCCTTGGATAAAGCTTGTCTGTAATCTTCACACGCAACATCAGCTTTCCAGATACCACAGACCACTTTTTCAAAGTGCTCTGACAGAGTTTAAAACTTGTGAAGCTGGCAGCTCCCACTACCGTGCTATGACCAAGCAGGGTAAAGGAATAGCATTATTACTTGATGTTAGGGAGACTCCTATATATGTCGACCTCCATCCCCAACGGACAGGCAGACCTGCAAAAATGCTCAACCCTTCCTCTTATCTGAGAGGGCACCCCCAACGAAGCCTTTCGAAATATTCAGCTTTCTTTCCCCCCGATAATACCTCTGTAAACAAGCTATACTAGAGCAAGAATATCTCATATCATCAGGGTTAAAAGCAAGAGTATCCCATATCATGCTTTTTCCCTGTCTTTTCCTTTGGCCTTGTTCTTACCTGCAAGACAAGGAGAAAGAGAGCAATCAGTCAGCACTTGGAATCAAGCTTCCAGCCAGGAACTGACTGCCTGGAACCCCTTACCCTGACATTGCTCTCGAGTACTCATCTTCAACATCTTATGCTTCCAGGGAAGATACCGCATCTGCCTGAGGAACAGATAGGGCAAGTGAGAAGGATACAAGGAAGCATGTGGAGACAAGCGTAACAGCACACGTGCCGATACATCCACTACTCTGTCAAAAGCAAAAGTATCCCATATCAGCAGGGTCGAACGTACTCTAGATTTGATGGACTTGTTTTGACCCTCAAATTCTTCAGTCGGCCTTATACTTTGGAGGAAACCAGAAAAACCCTCCAGCCCAGTTCAAGAATAAGCCTGTGGAAAGTTACTTCTTCAAAAGCAAAAGTATCCCATATCATCTCTTCTCATTTTTTCTTCTCTTTATCCTTCATGCTGCCTGCAAGATAGGGAGAATGTGAACAATCAGCCGGAGCTCTGATTGCTTACCTTGTCTGTTACCTCTTTCAGCAGATCCCCTAGCTCGGCGACTTGGGGGACTCCTACTACATGGTTTGTATCGCGCTTGACCAAGCCTGAAACTACAAGTAAGCTTCAAGTGACATTGATACATTACCTTGTGCATCTCCACCAGTTACAGATACCACCCCAGGATGGAGGAAGAGTACTTCCAGAGAAGATTCCACATCTACCTATGAGACAGATAAGGAAAGGAAAGTCAAGCCGATACCACACTCCGGGACTTAGAAGTTTCGTGGTTACGAGATTATTCTCCCACAATATTTCCTAATGTCATTTGTACTAAATCATTCACTTGTACTCCCTAAAGGAGAGCTTGAACCTATGTACTTGTGTAAACCCTTCACAATTAATGAGAACTCCTCTATTCCGTGGACGTAGCCAATCTGGGTGAATCACGTACATCTTGTGTTTGCTTTCCTATCTCTATCCATTTATATACTTATCCACACTAATGACCGGAGCAATCTAGCGAAGATCACAAAAAGTGACCGTTTTCGCTACCTAGGATCTATCTTGCAAGAGAACAGAGAATTAGATGGAGATCTCAACCATAGAATATACAAGCTGGATGGATGAAGTGTAAGAGTGTATCCGGCGTGTTGTGTGATCGTCGTAGGCCACTGAAGCTCAAGGGAAAATTTTATAGGACGGCAATAAGGCCAACGATGTTGTATGGCACAGAATGTTGGGCGGTGAAGCATCAACACGTACACAAAATGGGTGTAGCGGAGATGAGGATGCTTCGTGGGATGTATGGGCACACGAGAAAGGATAAGATTGGGAATGAGGATATCCAAGGTAAAGTAGGAGTAGCCAAAATTGAAGGAAATATGAGAGAAAATCGGTTCCGGTGGTTTGGACATGTGCAAAGAAGGCCTACTGACGCTCCGGTTCGAAAATGTGACTACGGGACAGAAGTTCAGGGCCGAAGGGGTAGAGGAAGACCTAGGAAAACTTTGGAAGAGACCCTAAGAAAAGACTTGATTACTTGGATCTAACGGAGGACATGACACAAAACCGAGCGCAATGGCGTTCTAGGATTCATATAGCCGACCCCACTTAGTGGGAAAAGGCTTTGTTGTTGTTGTTGTTGTTGGCTCTATTGGACTGATTCTAATACACCTTTTGATGTGAAGCCAAAGGCCAGAGTGAGTCCGGTTCTCTTCAATATTCCTATCTATTTCTACTGTCCTGCATCAGACCTCTTCAATATAACGTTAGTGATTGAGCCTTTAGATAGCAAACATGGATTACTTTATATGCTCTGGTTGTGAATTTTTATTGTCTTGCACATTCTGCCATAGTTTTTAAAAAACACAGTTTATTGTAACTGCTGGTGTTTAGATAGCTTCTTGGAAAAGTGAAATACCCAATCTTTCTGACAGCTTCATTACATTTCATTTTATGCATTTGCCTAACTAATTGTGTTTCAGAAATAAATCTTTGAATATTTAAACGAAGATGTGATTACTTCTTATATGCAGTTATCTTGAATAGATTCCTAAGAGCTGATTCATCAACAACAATATATACTTATTCTACATTGATGTACAGTTCTAGTTGCAATTAGAAATTTATGCTGTGCAAGAAATCTATATTATTATAAGGTTGTTCTGTATGAATTTTTCTTTCTATATGAAGCCCATGGAGTTAGAGCAAGTATTATCAGAACGGGATAGCGAAGATGAGGTTGATGATGACATTGCAGACCTTGATGATCGGAGGGTATGCTCAACGATTCTTCTAGATTGGATTTGCTTATTGTACATTGATTCATGTTGCACAAGATAAAAAATTCTACTTGCGGTGACTGCAGTTTAGTTCTTTCTTGGCTCAATTATGAATAATTGGGTCTAGTTTGTTTCGCCATCCCTAGTTTTTGTTTGAAACTGGGTGTTTTAATTACCCGACTTGCTAAGAATAGAAAGCTCCTTCCTCAAGTTTTCTAAACGTTTGATCACATTATCTGAAAACTTAGGCCTTTCCTCCCATAGTCAATTGGTTTTGGGTTGGATGCTCCAACAATAACATTGCTGAAAATACAGTAATAATCAATGTGCTTGGTTCAATTTTACAACACGTGCTCTACGTCGTATGCTCTACATTTGAAGGGGCCTGTTAAGGAAATAATAATCACGCATCGGATGCACTAATAAAGCTAGCATTACAAACATAAGATTAAGGTCTCTCTACTCATATCTAATTGGTTTTGGGTCTAACAATATTATTGTAAGAACTGAAAATCTAATAGTACATTGTTATGTTGCAGATGCTTGATGATTTTGTAGATGTTACCAAAGATGAAAAGCATCTTATGCATCTCTGGAACTCATTCATCCGAAAGCAAAGGTAGTCATCTCTTGCTGCTTTCGGCTTTCTGATATTGTGCAAACTTTATAGTTCTCTGTTATTCTTGTTCTACTATCCTGTTACTTCTTCTGTATTGTATGTCAAGTTGATGAAAAAATGGTGGCATCTTTAACTTCACGTCAGTTTGTTGGGATTTCCTGTAATGACAAAGATGCATTTTCAATGTGGCAGTGTGCTAGCAGATGGTCATGTTGCCTGGGCATGCGAGGCATTCTCAAGACTTCATGCACCGGAGCTAAACTCCTCTCCAGATCTTTTCTGGTACCGCTATTGCATTAGTTTTCCCTAATTCCATAATTAATGGTACAGTTAATAAAACATAATTCCCAAGATAATCGAACTTTTCAAAGGTAGAAGCACTGAATCAAAGGGGTTGAGTAATATTTGGAGGATGGCTATTTCGTGCATATAACTTTTTAAACGTAATTTTCAGTCAGTGGCATTTTCCAACTTTTATCTTTGTGGTACTAATTGATGTCATTCGTTGGATAATTGCGTGAAATTTATCAAATGCTCATTAACTCAGGTGTTGGAGGTTATTCATGATCAAACTTTGGAATCACGGTCTTCTTGATGCATGCGTAATGAATAGTTGCAATATCATTCTTGACGATTACAAACACAAGGGATCAGAATCATCAGATGCCATGAGAAGAAGTTAAAAGGAAAGGCGATGACTCGGCTCTAGATAGTACATAGTGAGATGGAGGATGCTAATCATGCTTCATTTAATGTTCTTTCTCCCATTGTTTTCTTTTTCTTTTTAAATTTTTGTAACGACGTTTGGACCAGAAACGTAACTAATCACATTTCTTCATAGGAGGCTCCGTTACCTTCTCGATGTAGAATACATTGTTTTAAATTAGTTATGAAGACCTTGTTACATATGATATCGTCTTCCCTGTCGTTCGCCTTGCTTGATTCTTCCAGTGCCATTTTCATGAACCTTGACTGTGTGCCGTGTACCAACAAAGTTGAAACACCCTATTCATTTGAATGCAATCTTTTCCGTGGGCTGCTGGTAGCCCCAGGAAACATCACTGTTTTGCAGCCGAGATTAATTCCTTCCAAACCCGTAGAGGAAAATCCGAATTTACCAGTCCACATTTCAACCGCTTCTGCAGCCGATGGAAATGGAATGACAAGATCTTTCATCCTCAGAACGCGCAGCCACAGAGCCTGAAAATAAATCAGTATGAGGATTTTCTTCACAATACTGCTCGATCACAATCACGAAGGAGAGTTATTTAAGTAAACAAGAGTATTCGAAAGTGTTGTAAACCATTAAGCAACAAGCATGTAAAGGTATTTGTTTTTGTTGAGTTTTGGTTTCAATATTTGTTGTATATTTCATTATGAAGATTACAAGAGAGTGAAGGCAACTCTTATAGAGAGCCAAAAGAAAGTTACAATAGATTGTAGGATAACTACACAAACACAATCCCTAAAATCTGTCCTAACAAGTGGAAAAACAAAAACTAAATTCCAAGTAAAGAAGCTTTTACAAGCAACTAAGAAAGGTTGATGTAAGGTGAATGACAAGCAAGGAAGAAAATATCGGTGATATCGGAAATATCGGTAGTCCGAAAACACGGAAATATCGATGGAAATATCGGTAAAATATCGATATCGATAAAAATTACATGGAAACCACGGAAATTGTAAGAAAAACTTGGAAATTTTTATTGAAACTTTGTAGGATGTTTATTTAGTCAATTATCTATTAGTTTATCACAAAAAATTGGAAGGAAATGCATTGCATGATGGATTTAACATTATCAAGTTGATTATATAGCGATCTGACAAACATTATGAGTGTAGAAAATATGTAGTAATTAATGAAAGAAGTCTAAACACACCATAATCATTTATATATAATGAATTAGTACAATATTTACACTTTAGTACCACATAGAGTTCCTATGAGGTTCAAATTTGTCACTATCTTCATCATCTCTATGTGTAGAATGAGTGTATTGTGAAGAGTAGTTATCAAATGATAAATCCCCAAAATAGTTTTGCATGTAATTGTTAATATGCCACCCATATGGATCCGAGATTGGTTGAGGTTGTCCATAAGAAAAATCATTTGAAGATTGAGGCTGTGATTGTTTCCATGAGTCGCTCGATTCCATCCCAAACAGGAAATGGGATATGAAGGGTAGGGAAATGGTTGGTTATGAGTATAACCATAGTTACTACTTCCCAATCCAACAGAGTCTGAAGTTCTAGATAACGAGTCATCTTCTTGACTTGACAAAATCCCTTTGCCTCTTTCTCTGCGAGTATAGTCCTTCCCTATGGCACCAATTCCTGGTCCTGCCCGCCTACTGCCATGGTCATCATCCTGTGTTGCATGCGTGAAGTTTGCCTCACCAGTGAAGGGGCTCATATATCCGGAGGTGGTGGTCCATAATAGTTTCCATATCCACCACCACTAACCCAGCTCCACTACCTCCAGCTCCACTATGTCCTTCATCATTCCACCTCCGGTGGTAGGTGAGTCTCCTGATCTTGTACTAGAGCTATCATTAGTATCAGCACGATGTTGTGGTTGTGTAGGATTGGAAAAAGGTGGAATTCCAGTGTTGCTTGGTCTTGGTGCAAAAGTTCTTCGAAAGAGTCAGCGCTGCTAGATCCCCCTCCTCCTCTAATATCTTTCTAATTATCCCTTCATTACGTGCTTCTTCAGCAACTCTGGGAGCTGGGTTGCCTTCATCATCATCTAAATGAAGAGGTCTAATCCATTGAAAAAGTTGGTTACCCTCCGTATCATCATCTTCACCAACAATATCAAACACATCTAGTGGGTCACCACGGTCGACATGATTGATTTCTGCTTCCTTATCTCGAATTTGAAGCTTCATGTTGTAGTAGCATAAAACTTAATTTTTCCAAGCTACTATGAGCCAACTTATTTCTTTGCTTTGTGTGTATGAGTGCAAATGTGCTCCAATTTCTTTCACAAGCAGATGAGGAAGCTGTTTGTGATAATACTTTTATTGCTAACTTTCTCACAGTTGGTGCATCGGTCTCATACATGATCCACCATTCAGCTACAATGAAAAATAATGTTGATAAGCCTAATAACTCCAACAAATTCTATTATAAACTTATAGTGAAATATGTTTATACTCACTAGGAGACATATTTTTCGAGCAGCAACTGATGTTGGTTCTCCAAATGTTCTTCTTGCATCTTTAAACCATGTTAGCTGAATACAATAAATTGTGTTAGTTTAATCCAACAAAGTAATTATTATAATTTAAGTAATTGTGTACCTCATTTCCAAATTGGCCAACTGCTGGTGATGCAGGGTCTAATTTAGAGTATACATTATGTACAGCACGTATAAGGTTCCATCATCTCCAACACCGGGTCTGTATTGGTATCGGGGATTCAAATAATATGCTGTTCAAAGAAACACATACTCTAATAAGATAAATAATACTTATGCAACTAAAGAAATGAATTGCAAATTATGACATAATTTATACCTGCTGCATGCAAATCGTGGTATAATGTTTTATACCATTGGTCTTCAAATTATTTTTACGACCCACCCTTGCACCATGTTTTCTTCCAATTCATCCTTCACTACACGCATCAACTCATATACTGCCCCCATAGTAGGATACACTTCTGTGTCAACGATCCGTAAAACTTTGTAAAGAGGTTCAAACACTTGACACACATGTTCTGTTTGACTCCAAAAAGCATGATCAAGCACTATACTTTCCACCATACGACCTGTATTTGAGCGGCTGAAATTGTGGTTGGCCCAATCGTCACTAGTGAATAGTTGCTTCAACCCTGCTTTCTTCTTGAGTAGGCTGTTTAATGCAATATAGTTGGTGGCGAATCGAGTGGTAGCTGGACGAATAATTTCTCCTCTGCAATTCACGCATCTTTGCCAACAACCAACCGTGATTGTAAATATAATTTTGATCGTTCTAGCTCTTTTGACCACAGTAGCAACATTCTCTCTCTCCCATTGCCTCAAACATAAGATCAATACAATGTGCTGCACATGATGTCCAAACACATTATGATGCTTCATTAACTTTTTTCCAGCTTTGACAAATGCAGAACCGTTGTCGTCACGACTTGGACAACATTATGCTCTCCACCTCCATGATTACATCCCTCAATAATTTGTAAATATACTTGTAATTCTTTATATGGTCTGAAGCATCAACAGACTTCAAAAAAATTGTCTTTCCCTTGGAGTATACCATGAAGTTGATGATAGATAATCTGGTCGGGCCGGTCCATTCCGTCACACATGATTGTGCAACCATTAGTTTCCCACTTTGACCTCAACTTGTTAACATACTCGCCAATGTCTTTATACTCCATATCCAAATATTTGTTTCTTATCTCATAGGGAGTGGGAGGTTGTACTCCAACACCGGCCTGTTGACATCCCACAACCATATTTTTGAAATGATGTGATGATGCCTTCGCAGCAGGGACATTTTTCATAGATAAAGAACTTGCCTAATTAGACGCCCCATTCCCTCCTTCACATTACCTCCCTTGAAATAACTCCAAACACTCTTTTACGTGCGTTGGATGACTTATATAAAACTTGGGGCTATTGGTGGTGTTGGTTGTGATTCTCTAAGACTGCCCTCCCCGTCTCATTTGTGCACCACCACTTGTCCCGGAACCTTGTCCCCTATTAGGAATTTTATGAAGGTGTTCTCTTTCCCATGCTGACTGTTTGGAGGCACGTAATGCTTGTTTCAAACTGCGTCGTTCTTCAGGTCCCCATGTCATCATCACATTCGTCCTCATCGTCATCATCATCACTGTCAACCGCTTGGCCATAGACTTCTCCCCGTAGCCCAGCTCGAATATTTTCCATTCCTTGGTGTCATCTTTTCCTTCTGCTGTTTTTTATTTTTAATAATGTGCTGATGAATGCCTTCACTTCTGGGGGACATTATCGCATCGTTGGACATTTTTTGCTGGATCTAATCCACTAAGATGGTACTTAAGTCGTGTCACTCCACCACTCTTCATTACCGACCACAATATTTGCAAATTGTGCCATGTTTGTTTCCGTCTATTGGGTCGCCATGTTCCCAAGCTGGATCACGTTTACTAGCTCCACTAGACATCTTAAACGTACCTACATTTATTTTTCATGAAAATTAGACAAAA